CTTTAAGAAGTGTCGACGTGAATACCAAATCATACGAAAGAAAATCGACTTACGAAGTCGACGTGAATACTGCCCCTGGTCGTCCGCAAACGACAACAGAGCCTCGATGCACCTGAAATATTTTATAGTTGTTATTCAATACATAAATAGTTTCTTAGTTTTATTCTTTCTATTCTGTGTATCTACAATAAGCAGTTGCTGTATACCGATGACCGCATTAATACCGATGAGTAAAATACCATTAACTATTACTAAAAGTAATGACAAGATTCCTTGCAGGCAATTAAACTGAACATTCTTAGAATCCATGAGCAAAAAGTCACAAAGAATACATGCAGTGTTTTCAATCAAATAAAAGAAGTGCAGCATATAATGATAAATTGAAAATTTTGATGCGAACAATTTTCAGGAAAATGGGATTATTAAAGAAGTGTATTTTGATCTGGATCTAATGCTTACTTGTCGACTCTTGCACACTCGACCGTCGAGGTTCAGGTACTTGAGCACCCTGTGGAAGGCCTCGACGTGCATGCTTGTGCTGATTCCGTCCGCAGTGCGGCCAAGGCAAGGCCGTATAAGAGAGGTAGAATCATCCCGCGATTTCCAATGGACCGGTCGCTAAGCATTAGCGTGACGTCACTGGTGGAGACCGGGCGGCGCCCGGCTCCAAGCTGTACGTCGGGTACATTTGGCACCGTACAGTTGTCATTACTGAACGACGAACGTAACGACAACTAATGACTCTTAAGAACATTTTTACTCACCTAAAGCTGATTTCCTTGCCGGTACATTGCCGACCCGAGCCCCAGGGTTGACAATCTTGGAATATGGGTCGGATGGGCGACCTCGCGACGGGAGGGGGAACGATTGCAATTGTTGTGTTCCGCACCGCCGATTGCATTCTCTATCTGCACCCGGGGGGAGGGGAAGCAGGGGGCGCGTGCCCCCATCGGATCAGGGGGCCTCTCGGGCCAGAGGGGCCTTGCGACGCCTATTGGCGGCTGAGGGTCCACGCTGGCATCTTTCGACTCAGAAGGGCCCCACAGCCCACAGGGCTCGGAAGAACACCTTATTTGCTCCCGAAGAGCCACACTTCTCTCCATGAGAGCCCCACACCGGCTTTTTAGTGTCCCTTGTCGGCCTTTGAGGGCCCCTTGCCGGCTTCTCAGGGCCTATTGGCGACCTCTGAGGGCTACTTGCCGGCCTCTGAGGGCCCTTACCGGCCTATCAGGGACCAGTAGCTCTAAGGGTTCCACACACGCCTGCGATGACCCCCTAAACCAGTGGTCGGCAGGTCCTCCGGGGTCGTGCCCCATTTTTTCGCGTAGGGCAGGGCCATTACCCCCACCTACCAGACCCCATTGCTGACAACCAAGTTTACCGAAATTCCATTCCTTCCTGTTCCATAATTTTATAATTCCATACCTTCTCAGAGGCCCTCATCACCCCCATCGAAGGGCTCCATTATCCCCAAAGGGGCATACCCCACCATTTGCCGACCCCTGCCCAAAACCAATGGTTGAAGCCCGTGAAGTCTCCCACAACGGCGCCTGCGAGGGCCCTCACCGGCGGCTGTGAATGCCCCACACCGGTGCCTAGCTGAGAGCCCAACACTGCCACCTCTGAGTGCAACCGGCACCCCTGAATGAGGTCCCGACTGTGACAACCCTACACTGCAGTGTCTCTGAGGGCCCACAACGGCAACTGTGAGGACCCTCACCGGCGCCTCTGAGGGCCCACAGCGGCACATCTGGGGGCCCCGCACCAATGCCTCTGAAAGCATCACACCGGTACCTGTGAGGGCCCACACTAGTGCCTGCAAAGGCTTCATATCCGGCGGCCCTGAGGGCCCTACACGGGTGATTTTGAGGGGCGTACCGAAGGCACCACACAATCCCTTAGTCTCGCTGAGCTTCTATCCCAATCCCATACCGGCTTCTATTCCAATTCCGGCTCAACTTATCAGCCCCCCCCCTCCCCTCCATGGGTCAGCAGCGCCGCGCCGGTGCCGGGGGGCCAGCGCCATTGAGGCGGCAGTCGGCCATGCGCACTCAGTGGTTAGCGCTTAGCACCGGCGGCTAGCGCACGCCCGGTGTGTTATCGGCCGTGAGCCGCTCCAAAACGGCTGCAGTAACTGGTCGATATAGGTAGTAAGCAGATGCAGAGATGCAGGTGGATTGATGACCGGCAAGCTTTTGAGTTTTACGAGGGTGAAGGGTCGAAGCAGGGGGTATTTAGGGGTCGGATCTATGATCTCTGTGGATCCAGCGGGCAAAAATTTGTGGAGGACCTATGATCTGTAAGGATCTCACGACATGTAGCCAATGAAACCCTTATCCTACATAATTGTACACCTTACAGTGCAATAAAATTGAGAATTATCACTTGTGGACATGGTTATTGGTTAAGACCACTTGTAATCATTAGGTACCATCATTAAATTTGAATTTAAATAAACAACATTTGTACTACATTTAAAATAAACCAAGAACATGCATATTGCTACTTTTTGTGACCAATTGTAACTTTTTCATGACAGCACTGATGACAATCTTATCAACAAGCTACAGCCACTTTAATTCAATGAACAAGCAGTACAGACAGATGCAGTGGCAGCAGGGCACTGCAGATTTTCATTTTGATCCCATTCTTTCCATGCAACGCCAGTAGGGCTAATGTTAAAATGCCAAAATCTATGGGGGGCACGGTACCCTGGTGCCACCCCCCCTCTTTTGCCGCCTATGGACAGATGTTAGGGAATCAAACCTGGAAGCCAAATAGGTCAGTTTTGTTAAAAATAATCCAGCAATCCACTTCTGCCAGGTATGAAATCCCAATCCAGAATGTTCGTATGAGCTATTAGTATGTGCAACACAATTTCGATTTAGTAAGAATAGCAACCAACCTCTAATACTTTCCTAATAAAATTACAAGTTCAAAAATGGCATCAACTTCTTCAGATTACCTACTTATGGCATCGTGCCACGTGTGGTGCCATGCTGTGCTTTTGTTATGAGAGAGCCTCCCAAAAAAAGACAAACGAAATTCACAGCTCACGTTTTGGTAATATGGTTTTATTACGTCATTATCGTTTGACCAATGAAAAATCTTAATTTGACCAAAACCGTAATGATTCCAAAAGATTCCCCGTTATAGGCCCTTTAAACTAATGACGTAAGATATTGTTATTCTTTTGAAAAATGAATAAAACAAAGATGCAAGGCGCACACCGCTCGGGGCCATGTAATACCGTTTCAGCTTACGTTTACGTCATTAAATTGAACGCTACAAAGATGATATTCACAAACAATCGTATCGTAAAATTATGTTAGGCAGAAAAAATGAACATTCTTTAAAAAAAAAACTCCAGACTTTTGAATTTCCAGTTTGATTTTTTATTTATTTTCATTATACTCGAAGGTAGAACCGGAACGCCTAGCTCATTTGTTATTTGAAATGACGTCACGAGTTCCATTTAGATACTGAATAATCATTTTACGGTAAATATCCAAGGCCATTACAATTGATATTTCGCTTCCCATCGCTTCCGCAGGCTGTTTAATATTTTTATACTTTTGTTTATATCTCAGTTTATTCTTAGGTGTTGTTTTTATCCTCAGTTTATTTTATCAAATATTTCTTTCAATAGATTGAAATACCTTTACCTAACCAAGCCACATGTGTCAGTATCATCTTTTATTGTTTATCAATCAATTGTGGTAGCTGGAAAGTGGAAACTGGAAAGCCTCATAGTTTTCTAATGCAAGATTGTCTTATCAATATCATTATGTAGATTCTAACATGAATTGTGATGTGGTAGGTACCTAGTTATGTATTGTTCATTAGTCATTACTTTGACTTACGTGCGAGTTCCCGCGCCTTTTGCTTATTCAAGTCTCATCGGTGCAGGAACGGATCCAAGGGGGGGGGGGGGGTCACATGGGTCATGCTCCGTTGGGGCCTGGGGGCAGTATAGGCCTGCCAGGGGCACCACCGGCCTAACAGGGGCACCGCAGGCCTAGCAGGGACACCACGGGCCTGTCAGGGGCACCACAGGCTTGTAAGGGGCACCACAGGCCTGTCAGGAGCACCACCGGCCTAGCAAGAGCACAAGTCTGCCAGGGGCACCACAGACCTGCCAGGGGCACCAGAGGCCTGCCAGGGGCACCACCGGTCTCGCAGGGGCACCACCGGCCTCGCAGGGGCACCTTGGGCCTGTCAGGGGCACCACGTGCCTGTCTGGGGCACTTCAGGCTGATCAGGGGCACCGCAGTCCTGTCAGGGCCCAGAGGCACCAGCGGCCTAGCAACCTAAAGCCTGCTTTCGCCTACGTAACGTATTAAACCTAACCTAACGTGTTATGTGAAAAGTAGATAAGTTGGGCTAGATTAGGGTTGGGTTAGGTTAGGAGGTGTTTGTTAGGTTTGGTACCTAGCCACCACCAAACAGCTCGCACATCTGCGGTAACCGTTTCAGAAAGTGCCGGTCGTCACTTGGCATTTCATGCAATGCCTAGGCAATGATTGTACTCGGCTTATTTCGATCATATTTCAGCGACTGCCGGGCCTCCGCCTGGCACTCCATGACATGCCTAAAATTTTCAGGCATTCGCCGTAACGCGCGTATTTCTACGAATATTTTAGTATTTGCCGGCATTCCGCGTAATGCCTAGGCATTTCATGAAATGCCGGATTTCACCCGATGCCTACGACATATACAACACGTAGGGGGAGATCTGCAGCCTGTAGTGGGCCGCCATATCGCCGAAGGGCGTCCTAGAGACAAGGCACGTGTCACAATGCTTTTGCCTTGGCCTTTGCAAGGACGAATGACTGTACCGGGGACCGCGTTGCCTGGTTTGGCCCTCCGGAATGTCGCATTGCCTACATCAGCGCGCCCGGGCTATGGAGGCGTCAATTCAGGGACGTGAACACTGCGCCCCCTCCCCTTCCTGGATCCGCGTCTGCTTTGTGTCAGTACTCAGTGCATCAGACACAAGATGGTTATTATTTGAATAGTTTATCAACAGGCTGAAAATATTCAATGGTGCACACATAGGGAAGCATTAACCATCCATGGTATTGCTGTAGAGAAAGAGAGTTTCACACGCACCGTCCTAGATAGACGTCACCAGGCTCGTTCAGTAATACCCATAGCCGCCATAGATTCCACCGCCAATCTGCCCCAAGCGGCTGATTCCACCGATTCCACCATATCCACCGCGGATTCCACCATATCCACCGCGGATTCCACCGATTCCGCCATATCCACCGCGGATTCCACCGATTCCGCCGTATCCACCGCGGATTCCACCGATTCCGCCATATCCACCGCGGATTCCGCCGTATCCACCGTAGATTCCACCAGCTCCAATGACGCCCTGTCCGTATCCGTTTCCGACGTCGGCGCTGTATCCGTACTGGTATCCGCTGAGTCCGCCGCGTCCGTATCCTTGTCCGTATCCACCGTATCCACCGCCGTATCCACCGCCCTGGCTGAGCCCGATCCCCTGTCCCTGGGCGTAGATCTGGCCGTAGCCGCCGACGTACCGGCCGTAGCCGCCGTAGCCGCCGGGACTGAAATTAGGGAACGGTTGTCCGAGAAAAGAAAAACAACACGAATGTTCATAGTAAGCGCTTTTAGATAACTTGTGTGTAATCTTGCTTGGCACTTCTTTTGACAAAATAAAAACCCATTGGGCTTCATAAGTTTAGAGCACACATACCTATCAAAATTTGGTGAACCCTAAAACCCTAAGTAAAAAAGCGCAAACGCCATTGGTTCTCGTGTCTTTAATATTGCTTCATATGTATTTACTGGAACATTTTCAAGAGTTTTCAAACGAATTTTTCTTCGAACCTTACGTTTGCAGTAAGCAAAACACGTGCATAGTGATTCAGACGCTTGAACTTCTTTGTTTCTTATGTTTGCCCGACTACAGTGGTGTTCTGAAAAGCTTAGATATATCTAGAGTTATATCCCATAATTAGCTTAAATAATAGAGACCAAGGGATGAGGAAAGAAAGCTTCTTATGACTGCACTTACACGTAGTAGCCGTGATTCACGTGCGATCCATAAGAGCTGCTCGAGTACGGGCTGAAACTGGAAAGAAAAACATGGCAGGTCATATTTTGGTAGATATCTTTGCTCTTGCGCTTTTCAAGGTCAAGCACTTAGCACATTAGTCAATAGTCGGGGAGCAGCTTTTTATAAAATAAGATAAGGGTGAAGTATTGGAAACCTCTTCTTACGTTTACGAACAAGACAGAGTTTCGGGCAAAAGTGAGGCAATCAAATTGCGAGAGTAGCTCCGAGTTCGATCCAATCGAGCCTTCGCTGTGGAAACATTGTGTTCTCGCAGTTCAGTCACTGCACGGACTCACGTTGACACGTGGACACTGCTCTGGGCACCTCCTCCACTGGCGGCAGCAGCGGCCACCAACACGGACAGAACGGCGAACTGAAAGCACAGCGAAATAACGCCGTCATAGGGGTTCACCAGTGTTGCGTAAAACTTCATTTATAATAATTTCCCGAGACTCGGACAGCCATGCGCATTGTCTCCATTTTGCCTTTGTCAATAATTGCACCTTGAACGCACTACGCACATAACACTGTCAGCAAAATTTAGCCTGAACTGAAGTACTGCGAAGCAGCGTATGAATTATACAAACCCTAGTTCTATAACGTATTCCACAGTATTTGCGCACTGTGTAACAAATACAGTGTTGTTCATTTTACTCATTTGATAGTCACATTTCGTCTCAGGACTTGATTATTCTTCACTTTTTCACTAATTATTCACTGTTCTCCTCACCTTAATCATGGCTGGTCGTTGGGAGTAGCGAATGCTGACTGCAATTTGCTCTCCTCTGTCCGACTTTATATACAGACGGTGGCCGGTTGGGGGCGCGGTCAGGTCGTGACTAACTCAGTTATCCTGTTTTACCGAGTTTTCATGTGCAGAACTCGCGGGGCCGAGTCCTCCGTCTCAGAAAGGTGCGGCAGCGCGTGCTGTTTTACCTCGTACCGTCGCAAATCATTGACAAATTAGACGGATACGTGGAGTCGATGAAATAATAAAATTGACTGATTAAAATTTTTCGGTCAATCAAGCGTTTACAGTCATTCAATCATTTAATCCGCGCCGGGCCGGGGAGGGGGTGTTTGAACACCCCCCTCCCCCTGCGGTTTTTGGTACACCTGTTTATGCATCTTTTCCACACATGTTGTGAAAGTTTCAGACCCAGGGCTCTCAAGGTCAGGTCACCAGGTCAGGTCAAGTGACCTCACCTCAGAAAAAGTTTCAATCCTCGTCATAGCTACACCGATTGAACGATCGCCTTGAAACTTTTAGCGATTGATAAGTGTAACAGTATATACAAAATGTTCATCTCGGAATTTTGATATCGGTGACCTAAGGTCAGGTCAATTTTACGACCTCTCCATTATAAGTCAATGCGAGAAAATCGAAATGCACCTCTTTTGGACGAACGATGTTCAAACCCCTCTCAAACATCGGTTCATAGGTAAACATGACACACTGAATCGGAAAAATGTACCTGTGACCCCTCTGCGTGCCCCTGAGGTCATCTCAGGTTATGAACAGTCGCCAGCAGTTTTTTGTCTATAACTTTTGATAAAGACGTGCTAGAGCGATGAAAACACATCAGATGTGTTCACCTCGACGATACGGATCGACTGATATGCAACATGACCCTTTCCGGTCAACTCATGACCTTGACCTGAGGTAAAATTTTCGAAATGACCTTTCAAGGTCAACAAATAATCCATTCGACGCGTCCCGACGAGAAAAACACGATGCTGCCAAAAGTAATGTCGTGGCTCTTGAGTCAAAAGTTATTGGCGAAAAACCATTTTCGTGAAAACTGCTATTTTTTTAACAGTTTTTGCCCTCTGGAGGCTAAACCGTTGATCTGAGGTCAAATCTGAGAACAATGCTCAGATAGGTCTGTAAAAGGGCTATCGAATGCGCTTTTCCGCGGCGCTGTAGCTCTATTGGTTCCCGAGTTAGCCGTTGGCAGTTTCCAAAATTGTTGAAATTGACTACATTTGGCCTTTGATGACCTCTGGCGACCTGACCTTTGACCTGACTCAAAAATGACTGAAGTGTTTCCGTCATAATTTTTGATGCTCTTTCGAATGCCGCTTACCGCGTGTCGCTACGTGGCCCAGGAGTCGAGTTAGACGAGTGGGGGTGTTCTGACACCCCCGTCCCGGCGCGGAAGCTAAGTCGCGGAGCACCGGCCCGGCGCGGGTTAAAGGGATATGTTCACCTTGAAAAAGCGGAGTGGATGGTTCCAAAACACTTGTAAATGGTCGATTATATCTAAATGGGTGGCTACATGCCATTAACCCGGCAGTTGCTGGGGTATTTCGCCACCCACCGTTTGCTGGGGGGGGGGGGGGCGTTAAACGCCCCCAGCCGATAACTCGAGAACCAATAGGCGCAGCGAAACGCACGAGGCGGCAAACGAAAGAGCGCGACGAGACGCTTCAGATGAGTACTTTAAAGTTGAATTTTGAGGTCACAGGTCGGGTCAAGGTCAGGTCAAACACCTGAAATCGGGCTTTCAGTAGCATGAACTTCAGGACTTCGCAATGGGCGCCTCTCGCCATAAACTGTGTGAAAACGGTGCACAATCCATCTTATAAGGCCTGCAAGAGTGTTAGCTCCATGTAGGGGTCAGTCAAGCATAGGTCAGGGTCAAGGTCAGGTCAACCGGGTAGGCACATATCCCCGAAAATCAAAACTGATATTCGCAGCCTGTGACACATGTTTTATAGGTAATTTGGGGCGTAGAACACGATGGTGACATTCATTTTATCATATGTGTACGTGTTTGGCTCAAAAAGTTCAATTTAAGAAATTCATGTATCATGGTCGTGAAGTAGTCACGAAAAATTGTCAAGATTCAGTTCAAGATTATTGAAAATGCGGAACGATAATCAAAAATCGAAGATAGCCATTTGATTGATCATGGTATTGGCAGTCTAATGGCGTTTACGGCATGTCTGTATGTCTATTCTGTGATTTTATATGATTTTTTGAACATATGCCGTTTTTGGTCGAAAACTCAGAAATCATGACGTCACTAAAACCTCGATATCTCAAAAATTTTCCGACCGATTTTTTTTAAACTTTGTCACAATAAACTTCAATCAATTCCCTACAGGTACCCAAAATTTGGCGCGCCTGCGGCGCGCCGTTTTTATGCTATGGCCCGGCGAAAAAAGTGGGGGCGTTTAACGCCCCCCCCCCCCAGCAACTCGCGGGTTAAAGGGACCCTCCCACCTTCAAAAAAGTTTATGAATTGGCATGAAAGTGATGTCCCTCGGTTCAGAAAGAGCGAAAACGAATATCTACCAAATTTCACCGAAAAATATTCACCGGTTTTCAAGATATTAGACTTTTACTTTTGTTTGCTTTTTTGGGATCTCCGCTGTTTCTAGCGACTTTATTTTAGAAGTGCGGCGTTTGCGGCAGATGTTGCGCGCAAATAGCATATACCACCGCGTGCTACAAAACGTTTTAGTCAAACATTTAAAAATCGTTAGATATTTGCGCTGACGTCACACATTCAGAGGGGTATTCCTAAGCATTAGCCCCTCTGAATCAAAATGCTGCAATTTTGAAATTCAATATTTCCGATTTAAGGCATTTCTCGATGTTGTGAGTGCCGAAACCGGTAATTGTGAGCCAGGGACCCCATTTTGGCTATCTCAACTCAAATCTAATGTTAAGGTGGGAGGGTCCCTTTAACCCGGCACCGCCTGGGCTATTTCCGTACCCACGACAGCCTGGGGGTGGGGGGTTGAATCCGACGGCCCCCCTGTTATCTCGAGAACCAATGGTCGTATCGAGCCCCGCGAGGCGGCGTTCGAAAGGCCTCTACGAGACCTCCCCAAAGGACTCTTAAGATTTTAAGATTGAGGTCAGCTTTTAGGTCAAGGTCAGGCCAAAGGTCAAATTCTGGGGTTTTGCATGATTAGGCTTACGGACAGCGGAATCGATAGCTGCTGCTCGAAACTCACTAAAAATGACCTCAAATACCTAGTGAAGGTACCATGTGCGTATAGGGGTCATACTAAGTACGGGTCAAGGTCAGGTCAGGTCACGAAAGGTCACGGGTTTCACTGTCTGCTACATGGGCGTGCGACACATGTTTTATGGCTTATTTTTCACGCCGAATCCGATGGTAATGGTTATATGTGACCATACATACCATACCATACATAACTAAACGAGGGCTAAGAAAAAAAATCAATTTTTCAACTTTTTATTTTTGACATAAAAATGCACTTTTTCTTGACGGGCTTTGTCCCAGTAATCTAGTGGTGCCATTTGTTTTTACATGCGATGTTCAGAAGTGCCTCTAATTCACGAAAATGCTTATGACGTCACCATGCCCTATGCATGTTGGAGCTATTTTGTACAATTTGGGGGTCGAAAATCAAGATAGAAAGTTGAAATTTGGGACATCTAATGTTCTAATAGAGCTCTATAACATGTATTCCTTTTTTAATTCTCAATAGTTCGGATTTTATTAGCTGTTTTCCAAAAAATACAGTTTTTTGAACTTTTAGGGGTGAAAAACGCATTTTATGGAAAATCCGAGACAGCAATCTTAAAGAACTCGCTAAGCAACGTCTCTTCATGTCCCTAATTTGCAATTTGCTTTAAAACTTGATTTTTGGCGATTTTTTAAACATTTACCACTTTTTGACTGAAAACGCCGTGTAGTTACATCACTAAAATTGATATATCTCAAAAAGTTTTTAAAAACAAAGTTCTTAAAAATTAAACAGGAGACTTCAAATTGATTGCCGATTGGGGAGAAGGTATGCCAAGTTTCAAATTGATAGCGTAATCGGTTCATGAATTATTAAAAAAAAGACGGAGGGGGGTCGGATCCGACCCCCCCCCCTCCAGGCGGTCGCGGGTTAACTGGCCGAATTTTAATGAAAATGATGAAAAACTGTTCAAAATGATGACGTGATTTACGGTAGTGACGTCATATACAACACAAAGCCACCTTGTGGGAATGTAGCGAACTACAAATCGCTTCAAGTTATGGTAAACCAATGTGCTACAGACATTGCGCAGTTTCGATAATTACGCAAAAGTAATTTGTGCCTATTTGTGTGCATTTTTTCGACGTAACATTTTCAAGCAATTTTATTTTTATTTAATTTTTGAAACGAACCAAAGTTCGTCCTATGCCTGTGGGCCTGTGGCTCAAAAAGGAGGTAATGAACTTCAAAGTGATATAGCCATGAAGAATTTTGGATGGATCATGGAACAGTGGTGAATCAAATTCAAATTTATAATAATTTGAATTACGAAGTGCTGAATCTCATCAATAATTTAAGCCATGTATGGCAAAGTTCATGATGCAGAACAGTTCGGAAGATCGAATTTGGGTTGAATTTACGTTAATTTAGGTACCCATCTCAATGTTGAATATAATTCTGGATTTCAGAGCCAGGGCCAGTAGGTAGCTTTCAAACATCCTGTAGGTTATCAAAATAATTAAAAAATTGTGTTGTGGGTGTACTTTCGGCATAACTGTTAGTAGTGGTGCCTGGTTGTGCTTTGATGTTGATGTAACTATAGGCATCTTTGGAACACGACTAAATGGTGCTGATGGTGCGAAAAGTAATGTCTGATCTTCACAGGTTTATGTCTGACGTTGATCACTGCTGACTGTTTTCATTTTATCAAATGTGATGGTAGCACAACTTGTACCTAAAAGTGTCACAAACCTTGTCGTTGAACACCTAATGTGATGTAGAGCGATAATGGCTGGCATTGAGTTGAATTGAAAAATGGTGTTGGCATCAGCACTCAGCAGTCTGTGTTTGAGTGGGGGTTGCCAGAAAAACTGGTGTGTAACCAACCTTTGAGTGTTTTAAATACATTTTTTGTGATAATACTGAGTGTTTTCGCGGTGTATATAGTCTTGGTTTTGGCCATCTGGCAATGACTGACATAACTTCAGGGACGCTTCTTCATAACACTTCTGATTCTGAAGCACCATCATTTACTATTATATTCTGGTCCCAAGGTTAGATTTCCAAATCACTGTCAATCCTAACCTAGGCCAGATCACTTTGTTCGGTCCGCGTGGTTACAACCGTTGCACACATTCTTTCTGTACATCAGGATAAACACTGAACACAACAGCTGCTGAGGTAAGCAGATTAGTGATGTCAATTATGGAAACTCGTAATACCGATACCAAACCAAATACCAACAATATCCATGGAAAAATACCGATACCGAACCGACTTGGGAATATGAGGAAAATACCAACTTTTTACCAAATTCTCAGCCTCTTTTACATCAGTGAAGATTCATAATACCAACAAAATACCAAATGCACTCGCCTTGAAATACCAAATACCAAGTTGGTATCGGTTTGGTATCGGTATACCAAAAAGTTGGTATCCGATTGACACCTCTAAAGCAGATGCAGCAAGATCATTTTGCTACTCAGTAGTGGCCTGACCACGGTATATAGAGAACTAGGTAAAACCGGTTCGAAATTACAACACTAAGGTATTTTGACCACTATTTTCAGCTGACCTTTTAAGTCTAAAAAAGAGAACTAAGCAACAAATTTCGATGAGTTTTACGATTTGTATATATATTTTTGATTTATGATCACAGAGCACGTCATGTATGAACCTGTGAAGCATTAACGAAAATAAATTGTTGGCTATCTCCGCCATTTAAAAAATTATATATCTTAAACGCAAACCTTGCTCATGGACAAAATTAATTTTTCACAATCAAAAATTAAAATTGAAGGACAAAAAATAATATCAAAGGCCGACACTCTTTCATTCAATTTCGAAATTATCATGGTTCTGAGCTGTTCAGCCTACCGGACCTGCCAATGCTCTACCCTGAATTGTCGAGTAATTTCAGTGATGTGGGGCTTCAATCATGGTCAATAAATATCAAAATTAAATTTTCTTTCAGATTATGTCAGTTTTGTTGCTTTTTAAGCATTGGAAACTGCATTTAGTTGATGTTGAATGCACCACCGCCATTGGTGTCCTTGGTCACCCTGTTCCACTAAATGTAATATTTTTCTAAAACTAGACTATGTCGGTGTCTAAAACATTTACCAAAAAATACAAAATTGTTAACGCTACTACCTATCAAAATGTTGAAGCGCTATGATCTTGGGAAATTTTAGAAATGTATTTATGAATCTCGAACTTATATTTTTTGTAACCGATTACTCCTGAGCAAAAACATCTGTATTTGGTAAACTTGTTAGGTATATGCTCTTAAAACGTCTATATCAAAATGAGAATTCAATTTTCTTTAAAAGTCCGCATATCTCATTGCAGTTTCGAAGATGTAAGGTGTATTTTTTGGTCTAGAATGAATGATCTTCCATTCTGCTGAAGGTAACACTATGACAATTAATGGAATATTACTAAAAAACAAGACAATGTCGGTGTCTAGTTCAAGCTTAATAATTAACATAAAAGAATTCTCTATCTTTTGATATGAGTCATAAAACAAGATGAACTTGGGAAATTTACGAATTTCGGTATTGAAAACCGCGGACCACCCTCAGTTGTGCTTTGTCCACTGTACTGTAAATGCTGCTAATATACCTCTGTCGCTAGCAGACGCATGTCTTTGCATTTGATTGGTTGAACGGCATTTCGTTTGCTGATGGAGAACACCTTTGTTTTAATTTGTATTTTGTCATCGGTTATGTTATTTGTTTTGTCTGTTACACTGAACTCTATTGGGGTCTGTTATTTGATTTGATTTTGTTAGGTAAAGATGGAAGGCACTGTGACTATAAATAATGGAAGGTAGGTGTTGGTTTGGTACCTTCTTTTTAAAACTTATTTTTTTCCCTGAGATTTTGCCTGTCAGGCTGGGTAATTTTGTGTTTTAGATCCTTTTCTGAATTCTGTGGTTCAGTTGAGATTCAAATCAAAATAGGTAAAAGGTAACTAGGCCAAGGCCAAAGGTAGTTGATGTTTTGATTGATTTGTCTTGTAGTTGTGGTAATTATCCTACCAAGTATGCTCTACCCCAACGGCCAGTTGACGAAGCATGGCAATTTCGACGAGATGTTGTCATTGTGGCTCGTGGGGCTGTTCAGCTGGTGTGGGTTTGGTGCGTTGCGGATTTGGCTTCGTGCAGCGCAGATTTAGTGTAGCGTGGTGCGAGTTTGGCCTGGGTGGTGTTTCACTGGTGATAGTGATAGCAGCACGCTGCTATTTCATGTGTCAAATTAGGTTTCCATGGAGACATCAACAAGCCCCACTCACATTGCTCCAACACAACCACAAGTGTGACGTCAGCAGAATAGTAGCGTGCTGCTATCACCGGTGAAACACCACCCTGGTGACGAACTTGACGGGGTGTCAATAAAGCTGGAGTCACCTTCAGCGCTAGCCAGTAAATGTGTAGATAAAAGGAAGCTGAAATTTAAAAACAATCTAACCTTACCTAACCTTACCTATTGGCTATTAACATACTAACCTATACCCTACACCCTAGTTTAGTAGGTAAGGTTAGGTCAGGTTAGATAATGTTTTGTTCTGTTAGACTAGGTGGGTATTTGATTAGATTTAAAAGCGAATTTTGTGTAAATGTCTCAAGAACTGGAGAGTCTAGCGACTTCACAAATCGGTGGCAGCATGTGAGATGCCTGCTATATGAATACCAGAAATCCTTCTCTATGCCTCAACCCCCTGTTCTGGGCTGGGCGGACACTTTCATCCCATGTGGGAAGCTCCCCTAGGAGCATACACGGAGCCAGGTGCAGTGTCAGGGACAGGGTGCCCTGTTCACTGGATGGGCTCAGCCCCAATGACTTGTACCAGGGTGTTTGCCCATACCAATAGCTCCCCCTAATTCCTATCATTCCTCCAACTCTGTAGTCTTTTTGGGCCAAAACTTGAAAGGCAACCCAACAAAACTTTAAATTGATTTTTAACTTGTGGCATAGTACTTACTATTTTGCCAGTCTGACAACATCCCATTACTGCCTTGACTGGCTTTCTTCTCTCTCAGGCTGATCCTGTGTCACAGAGCCACATAGATGAGCAGCTACCCATCGTAGGATGCACACTCAACCTCCTGCTAGTTTCTGAGCCAAGTCAGCTTGACTGAGGGGTCTGCTAATGCACAGCCACCTAGCCACTGCTAACAGATGCTGGCTGGGACAGACGCTCATCAAAGGTGTGCCACACGACATGGGCATTCTCGTTCTGCATCAAGCCTCAAGGTGCCTCAGCCAAACGGCAGTGAGGAATAAGGGTTGGAATAAAAGAAGAGGACTGAGGAGAAAATCCATTTACCACAACTTTATCACTGTGGACCATCGCGAATGCGTAGTGTAATATACCTATTAACTTAGTAGCCCAGCACGCTCAAGAGATCTTGGAAACTGGACCACCCCAGATCAGTAGATGCAGACATGCACGTGCAGACGAAACACCAGCGCCATGCATGGGGTCCAATCTCACCATGGAAATGCCAAAGCACACAGCTCAAGCCATGCTGCCATCCACATGACGTGCGGCCAGGTATCCATTATCAGACTAGATATGTGATATCTGAGTTTTTTTTTATAACATAGCCATTTGCAATCTTTTGTGGCGATGGAACTTTCTTAGCATAAAAGACCGCCGTTGTGTACCGTGCCTGTGGCCAGCTTAGTCGTTTCCATTGTATGCTTTGTGGTTTTTTAGTTCTGAGCATGTTATCTTTCAACAGGCTCGTTGCTGTCGGCGGTTCTGAAGACAGCGGTTCGATCCAGCTGAAGGACGTCACCTGGCAGGAAGTTGTAGAGTGTGGTGGCCAGTATCAAGCCACATTGTCCAGAAACCATCACATTATCTCCAGGTCAGTAATTGTGTGAACCGGGGGGGGGGGGGGGCGCAGCTGCGCCTTGGTCACCACTGTGTCGAGTTGTGGACGCCTGGGCCACTGTGTCGAGTTGTGATAGGAAAATCCTGCGAAATTCCTCCCACTTCTCCGTAGGTCTCTGCTGCTTTAACACAGGTGTCCAGTCCGTGTCGGTGAGCTGCCAGTTGAACTGGTCAGGATCGACCCGCTGTAAGCACCGGCGTTGAACCGTCGGGCCGGTCGCCGCACGCCACCAAACCGCAGCCCCACGCGGGTAATAATCGGGCTTGGACTTCTTGGATGAGATGTTTATGCACAGGCTAATGTACTGTAATTATGACTGAGTGTGCGACAGAAGACGTTGTGACTATGAGTCATACTCGCCGTGGCTGGTATTTGATGACCGTCGTGACCTGTGACGGTCGCCGTGACTGCTGTGTGACGATCACCGTGACTGTAATGTGACGGTCGCCGTGGCTGGTACGTGATGTTCTCAGTAACTGTTTATATAACGGCCGTTGCGACTGAAAGGTGACAACGTGACGAGACGCGACTCGCTCTGTTACAGGTCACTAGTCGCCGGTGCTCGAGCTGACGGCGTCGTTCAAGGGCTCCACGGTGACAAGCGCAGTCACCGCTGCCGCCGCCGCCGAGACCATCCGACTCCTGGGCCCTGTTTCACGGCAGCGTACTGCAGCGCGCTACGCAGCGCTGCTGTGTTAGTGCGGCGATTGAGACGAATTCGGCTCGACGCTCCAGCGTTGCGAAACACCCGTGTCTATGAAGGATACGCCGATACGTCTTCCAGCTTCAAGCCCTTCCCGCCCCCCCCCCCCGCCCCGTCCCAACGGTGTTGGCCGAGATTGGGGTTGGTATTTTAACGGGCTCTCCGATGACGTCCCGCAATTTGTGTTATGTAATTTGACGATTATGTCGTAGTCTCATTCTGTCTCGATATGCTAATAAATGATAAATGGGACGGAGGTTGGAAGTAAGGTGTGAGTGGCTGTAACTGGCGGGTTTTGGCGAGCGCGATATTAGTTATTGTGAGCGCGCCAGCTGCATTAAATCGCGCTTCTGGCGAGAAAATACTTGCTCTGGAACCTAGAAGTTTGTCGTGAAATCTATGTGCCTTTGGATTGAATTATTAGAACATAATGTACTTTCGGTGTCCAGCACTGCAGCTCTGGAAATAGAAATATGGATGTTGGCTGTTTGATGTAGCAAGGGCTAACAATCTGCGTCAAGAATCAAAAGCTGTATGCAAATTAAAGTGAATATATTTCAATGAATTTTTAAATTTTGTGATACAAAACATAAATGTGTCAACTACTGATTACACCCGGCTGCAAACACTGTAACGCTTGCAATGCTGTACGGCAAATAAATAATATAGATTCTCTGGCGGCCGACTGGCGCGATCCGAGGCTGCTGACTGTTGTTGTATAGGACAACACGGCTGAATGGCTACGATCGAGAGTACGGAACGGTGCTGGTTAGAGTTCTGCACGGCTGCAATTTTCCACAGCCTAGCCGCCCCGCAGCCGTGGCTCCACAGCCACAGCCGCCCACAGCCGTGGCAAACTGTGGGCAGCCAGCCGTCAGCCGGCCGTTGATACTTTCAATGAAATGCAACCAAATAGTATATACTAAGTTGTTTTTAGTTGAAACATATAGCCAAAGGCACATTGCAATGGGCTATAGATTCTCAAGCTCATGAAGCATCATAGGTTAAGTGGTTGTGTATCTGGCTTTAGGCCGAAGGCCTGAAGCCTGATGCGCAATGCATGCCTACACAAGCCCTTGCAAGTTGTTAAGAAAGATGGGTAGGTAGGTACCTACATCAACAGAAAACATAAACAACAAACCAGAATAGAAGCACTAGCAGTGTAGACATCTAATGCCAAATCCTGAAGCATGGTTGTGGGACAGAACAACAGACCCTGATGCTTTTCATTATCAATGTTAGGTATGGAAAATGAAACTGAAGTTGATGGACTGTCAAACAGTGATTGTCTAAGTCAAAACTCTTGCTTCTTTCTTACCTTGCATATTTTCTGGGGTGTGATATGCCAGGCTTGAAGCAGCCTTCCGAGCAAGTCTCAAACTAATTTGATATGCAAGGCATCAAAACACTAGTGAGCATCCAAGAAAGAAAAACATTCATCTAGTTTGATTTTTCCAAATAATGATCTTCGCTCAAATCCCCAAGGACGTGCGAGCCACAATTACCTGTTTCAATCAAAAATTTTACTTGAGTTTTTAATGACGTCAATAGAAAGGAAGTGGCAATAAATTGTTTTGTTTCACTATAAACAGCCATAAAAATTATAATTTTTTAAATAATAACGCTATGCAGTTAAAAACTTGCTCTAAAACAAAGATCAAGTATCAAATTTTTACATTTCTAGAAGAAGACGTCATTTTGTTAGTAAAGTCAACAGCTCGCGTAAGAAATATTGTGTTCAGGGTTTTCACCGTCATGTGAATTACGTGTTCAGGGTTTTCACCATCATGTGAATTAACCGTAAGTAAGGTTCATGCTCACTTATAATCTAATTCCATTGGCTTCATTGATCGGCATTTTCTGTTAGCGGTCACTCACACACCAGTTAGAACATAAAGCGCCAGTTTTATATTTTGTAATTGGACTTGCCGAAAATCCAGAAATTCATCTAAGAGGTATTTTAGATAATATTTTATGAAGCCTTTACCTGCCTTTACCTAGGCATGATTTCTTTTTCTATTACCTGAAAGAATTATTGAACGCTCGTCTTCAATAGCTGTAAGGTGCTCTCCTAATGACCAGGTGAGATTGATTTGAGAGGGATGTGACAATGCAACATGTTGCATTTTCTGAAACTGTCAAGCTCTTGATAATGAAGGAACAATTGGTACCTATTATTAGTATTCTGTACCAGAGTGCAAACTCCCCTACAGCAAATGGTAAAACCATTACAGGTTCTCAAAGGCTTCACCACTTTCAATGTTGCTGGGCATCCTTTGCATGATTTTTACAGGCTATACTGCTTATCAGAATGTAAGATTAAGGATTTAAAATTTTATATTTGAGTACTTAAGATTGAGCTTGAAATCTCACAGCCGTGGCCACAGCCGTAGCCGTGTTCTTGGAGATATTTGCAGCCGCCCCGGCCCACAGCCGTGGGGCTGCAGCCAGCCGCGGCTGCAGCCGGCCGGTGCAGACCTCTAGTGCTGGTGACTGGCGGACCAGCGAAAACAGGAAAGGAGATGAATAGCTCTAGCTCCCGTCTGCGCGCGGAAGGGCGCTGATTGGCGCGGCTCGCAGACTCCATTGGCTCATCAGACTGTTGTTGGTTTTGCTCCTCCCCTCCCACAGGCGTAGCCAGGTAGCTTAGTTGTGCGCGGAAGCGAGCGGCCAGAGCGGCGCTAGGTGTCGCCCTCCCAGCGACCGGGCAGTGCAGCTGGACGTGCCGCGGATGGTCCGCCTCTGATCTCGGCACACTCGGAAGAGTGCGGCCGGACACTCCATGGAGTTGCATAGCGTCGATAGGCCGTATGTTTTTGTTTTTGTTTTGTTGGGTTAGGCCCTTTCGGTCCAATGCGACCATTTCAGAGCCGGGAGGATAATAGGATATAGGGGGAGACATTGGTCTGGGCAGGCACCCTAGTGAGTCGCCGGGGCTGAGCCCGTCCAGAGGACAGGCCACCCAGCCCCAAGGCACTCACTGCACCCGGCTACGGGGTACGCTCCCTCGGGAGCAGCGGTGCCGCTCCAAGGGAACAGCCCGCATGAGATAAAGTTGCCTGTCCAGCCCGGAGGGGGGGTTGCGGCGTGGAGGAGAAGGATTTCAGTATCCTGAGGATAGAAGCACGGAACGGTGAGGCCGTATGGTGTCGCTGTCGTAATATATAAAAGCGTAAGTAGAAGGTTGAAGCAAGATATAGAATGTTTTTCTTTACATTTAATATCGCAAAGCACAGCTTTATGCGCTGGCTACGATATGAGCGCGTCGGTTGCGGCAGTAATCATCGAAGAAATATATGGTTTATGAACGTTTCTTGATCATAAAATGATAAAACATTGCAATGTTTGCCTATCGTGAAGAAAACTCATATACTGCCGCTCTATCGTCCGGAATTATTCGTGTTTGATTACGGCGATTCCGCCACTCTATCAGCTGATTTTTGTTTCCGAGTCACGTGACCAACCGGTGTCTCCCTGGGCCTGACCTTGGCCCGGGCCGGAGGTCGGTCCCGGCGCTCCGGTGACATGCCGCGCGAGTGAGGGGCGCGCCACTGGCAGCGGGCGGCCGGCCGCCGGACAGTGAACGGTCACTGGCAGACGAAGCATAACGCCGAGATTTACGAGTGCTTGTCGAACGCCTGGCCACGTAGAGCGATGCGTCGTGACGATCAGTGACTGGTGAGTCAGCAGAGACGTGATCGTGATCGTGGTCGCTATCGGTCAGTGGCGGCGGTGTTGGAGTCTTGGGCCGTCTGATCGCGGGGCTGAGCTGGCCGCGGACCCGGATCAGCCATAGACGGACAGAGGCCGCGTGACGGACGCGTCTGCCGCCATACGTGATGTCTCTCGTCATGACGCAGGCATCGGATACGGCCGCGTCGGATATCGACTCAGTTTTCGGTGACGCCGAAGAGTCAACATTCGTCACGCCAACACCGAGGGGCGGACGGAAGCGGCAGTCGTCGGTTCCCGAAATGGTGAGAGCGCTGGAAGTGAAAGAGCAGCGGAAAAGCAAACGAGTGAAGCACGCAAGTAAGGAAAGCTCACCAGCCCATAGTGATTCACACAGCTGCCGTCTTGATGATGTGTCGCTTGCGGCCATGAAAGACATCATGGACGCCGGAATAGCCAAAGCGCTTAAAATCATGGACGCGAAATACGAGGCTTTGGAGAAGAGGTTAGAGGTTTTGGAAAGCGAGCTAATGGACAAAACAACAGAGACAGAACAGCTAAAAGCAACGCTAAACAAAACGGAAAACACTGTCCAGGAGCTCTCAAAACAAATAGAAAGCATGGACATAAACCGGAGGATAAACACTCTCATACTGAGGTGTGAAAGCTTCGGAAAACGGACAAACGAAGAGAACATAGAGGACAAAGTAATTCAGGAACTGGCCGGGCGATTTCCCGACATCAAGATCACGAACCAAGACATTCAAACGGTTCACAGACTTCAAGGCGACTACACAGTGATATGTAAATTCGTGAAAACCAGCATGAAGAACCAGCTGTACGAGCGGCGTCTAGACATGGCTCGAAAGTCACGGGAGGGTGGAAGGAAACCGGTTCCACTCTTCATAAGCGAGTCGCTGACAGCCGCCAACCAGCAAATCTTCAATTATCTGCTGGACGAAAAACGGAGAGGAACCATCTACACTGTGTTCACGAGAAGAGGCCTCGTGCATGTCAAGACGGCCTTCAACGAACGTTCCCGCCGTGTGGACACTATGAACCAGGCCCGCGACATCACACGAGGCCTGTCGGCGGCGGGCCTCCGTGAGCGGGCGGGACGGCCGCCGGCGAACGGCGGGCCGGGACCAGCTGCCGCGGCGGACCAGCGGGACCAGCGGCGGGGGCCGCTCAGCTCCGGGGCGCGGCCGGGCCGGCCGGGTCAGCCCCGGGCTGCGGCTCTGCGAGAACCGCTGGACCCGTCCCCTGCCGCAAACCCGCGGGTCCCAGTGACAGCTCAGCAGGGTGGTACGGAGCTGTCAGCTGCGGAGAGCTGGCCAGATCGGGGAGAGAGCGCCGGCGGCGGCGGGGACCGTCCGACTGACGTCTAAAGGCTCCCTGTCTGCAGGCATGGCATGGCGATGCGCCTACGGCTACAATTTTCGGTGAAGTATGATATATAGAGAGAGAAAAGTGCAAGAGCCGTTTGTCAGCTACTCGTATTGCTAACTAGTCGTGAGAGGATCGATACCGAGTCGTCAGTCATTATTTTTTCATTTATTGTGTCAAGCAATTCGCTGTTTGGTTAGAGGGCTCAAGCTCAATGTCTCATCTTTTGCACCCATGAGCCAGGTGGTGTCTTTGCACCCGTCAAGGCGCTACCGGTGCGCGCGTCTAGCTATCTGTCATGATTAGTTTGTAAGTTAAGTTCTAAGATATCTACCTGTTACTTGTGTAGCTAGGATTGTTACAAGTAGATAATGTATAGACTATTGACATTTATGCTTAGTTGGCGTGTAACCACGAGCGGTCGCTGATCGGAGCGACCTCTATATAGGATTAGGCTAGACAAGACGGCGCCACATGGTCTGGCGGGACAGTTTCCAATTAGAGGTGGCAAAAGATAACAATTTTGGGAACCAGACTCGAACCAGACCCGGCTGGACATTTCTGGAACCAGTCGGACCCGGTCTTAGTTGGAATCGAAACCAGTTGGACCCGTTCCC